GTGTAATTATGTACTTAAAGTACTTAATTTATATTTATGGTCGCCACTGGTGGTTGTCTATTGTTTTGTTCGTGAGACCCTGGTTGACCGCTAATGAGAGCAATTGATTAGAGTAGATATTGGTGAATAAGATAGATAGGATACGCAAGATAGATAATGAACTTGTACAACAGAAGTATGATATGCACTACGGGACTAGGATATGTATGATAAGATATGAAAAATCAGCCACAATTAACGAGCATGGGCGGAGGGTCGGCGCTAGCAGCTGCATGGTCAACATCCCCAGTGCTTAAAAACCTAAGGTGCATAAGTACGCTGTCATCAAGTCAGATGGTCACATAATGCAGGGTGCATTGCGTCAGGGGCATCAGTTTAACTAAAGGGCAACATATTGAGTTTCGAAGTTCGATCTCCTCCCAGTCTTTCAGTGGAACAGGACCATGTTGAAGCCAGAGACAGCCTGCGTCGCTTAATGGGGTAGCTCCACTCAAGGCTGTTAGATGTGCTGTGCCATGGATAAGCCCGTGACATCCATGATTGTACAGGAGCCTTGTTCTAATTGCCCTTTGCGCTGCCACCAGATGTCAGTAGGTCTGTTCCAGCCTCTGTGCCTCAACACAGAGCCTGCCTTATCTCACCAGTTGTCCAGATGGGAGCGTCACCTTCTGGTTTAGGAAAACTGCCATAAAGCACACCATGTATGAAATCTGAGTAAAATAAGTTTTTTAAAGCAACCGGAACAGTGAGCTCTGCCTTTGTATTTCTCACAGTCCCTGTAACAGCCAACATCATAGCTCTCAGTTTATATTGAGGTCCACCAATCAGAAGGTTGTTGGTTTGATCCCCGGCTCCTCCCGTCACATGTCGAAGTATCTTTGAGCAAGATACTGAACCCCGAATTGCTCCTGATGCTGTGAGAATGTGTATGAATGCGTTTGTTTCTGAAACAAACACGCAAACATCAGTGAAAGGGTGAATGTGGCATGTAGTGTTAAAGCGTTTTGAGTGGTCGGAAGACTAGAAAGGCGCTATACAAGTACAGGTCCATTTACCATTAACCATTATATCCTAAAATAAAGTATATCCAATATACTGGGAATATTCTTGGTTATGTGGGTCGAAACCAGAAAGTATTGTCCCCTGAGCATGAAAATGCATCTGAAATCAAACCTTTAACATGTGCAATCTAAAATGAATATTCCTAGAAAATTAATGTGAAACACAGAAATAGAGCCTGCTGATAAAAGTATTTGTTTAATCAAATAGCTTAGATTCACACGAGCAAGTGCAAGAGCCAACTCAAACAAAAAACAACTAACCACAAAGCTTTCAAATCCCTTTTTTGGTGCAGCTTCCTCCATCTTTTCCGTCCATGGTCCAAGTGGATGATAAACGAATCATAACATTACAATCAACTGTTTTTCTACGTAATTTAAAAGTAATTTTACAAAGTAAATGGTTCATTATAAAACATTATTAAAAAGCAGTAACTTAAGAATAACACACGGACTGAACAAATATAATCACAAACATTTGCAGGCTCAAGGCCATGTGGAAAATGACTGGACAGTGAGTGTGCACACTTTTGGAGAAGCACACTATTTTAGGATAGTTTATCGATGCTACCATTGGGTGTGTCAGAGTCAGTTGCCCACACCACAACCCATACTTGTACAAACCTCTTTTTGTATAACATTCAAAGCCTTTTTCATGTAGGACTAGGGTGAAAAAGTTTACATTAAGAAACTAGACACACTCAACTACTAACTACATTCAGTCAAATCACCAGTTTCATTTTTCAAAAAAAAAAAAGCAGATTACTTAGGTCTTAGTTCAACTTCCTTTATGTTATCTTCACTATCGATAATCTCTATGGGAACTTGATGGAGAAAACACAAGCTACCCGAAGTGACCAAGGTCAGAGTTCTTTACGAGATACCACTTGAAGAACCATAAATCCATGTTCCTTCCACTTGTATCCTTTCTGGGCTACTGTGGTAACATTTTAATATGATGGACTCTTAAGAACGGCTCATTCTAAGGGAATGAAATTCTTATTTTCAGATGATTATACATAAATGAAAACATACCTACCTATGTTGCATTTCTGCCAACAGATCCTCCTAACTGTTACAGCGTGCCTTGAAAGGCAAAAAGATTTGAAAATACAGGCAAGAATGGTGTTTGTTTTTTCAGTCTCGAGGTGAAATGAGTTTCCATTTAGATTTGTGCAGATATACTTATTTCATTGCTCTCCACCCTGACAATCCAAGAAGAATGCAAACTTTTTTTTCTTTTTATTTTAAAGTATTTTTTTAAGGCTTTTATTGCCTTTACGATAGTGACAGCTGGAGACAGACAGGAAAGGGGGGCAGAGAGAGGGGAAGACACACAGCAAAGGGCCGCAGGTTGGATTCGAACCCTGGGCCGCTGCAGCAAGGACTCAGCCTTGGTATATGGGTCACCAGCTCTACCCACTGAGCTAACCGGGCTCCCGGAACGCAAACTTTTAAAGCAATCTTCTGGTTGTTTTTAAACACATGGTTTGCTGAACAAGCCTGTTTGTCCAACAGCCAAAAACAAACAGCCATTGCTCTGAAGACCCATTGCTCCGAAAATACCAACCTGGTATAAATTACGTATCATATTTATTTGCATCACACAATTAATTACGCCATTTTAACCCAAATCTTTCCCTTAACCTAACAAGTAGTTGTGTTGCCTTAAGCTAATAAAACTGTGACTTTTCACCATGACAAAAAAGCTCAACTAGCAATGACAAGGAAAGTTACATTTGCACATCAAATCATACACAAAGTTATTAATGGCAAAAATTAGGCTCTTGTAGTACTGACCTTTTCTTTTTGGAATAACAGTCCAACAGGACATTTTTCAGACTACCAGACTATCAGAACAATGCACAGTCCCCAAAAACAAAGGGGTTCCTCTCCCTAAATATCATTTGGTGTAGTTTTCGTGGACATATTAGTTGCGCTTTGTTGACTGACAGAAACATGCTTCTTTAACCTTGGGAAACGCGTCACCAGCAGCTGTCTGAAATAGCTCTGGAACTTTCTCCCAACAAATGTGTAAAAGATGGGACTGATGCAAAAGTAAATGTAGGCAAGATTACGAGTGACTTGAAGAGCATAACCCAATTTCTGGGATTCTTCACAGGTAGTGGCTTCATCGTGCATCAACAGTACAATGTTGTATGGGGTCCAGCACACAAAAAACAACAGCACAATGATGAATATTAACCTGACTGTCTTGAACTTGGAAACTATCCTGGATGATATGACAGTGATAGCAATCCTAATATAGCAGTAGATAATCACAGCCAGAGGAAATATCAAGAAAAGGAAAAGCTGAATGTAAAATCCAGATGTTCTCAGTTGCTTCACATTAACATAAGGCAAATCACCAGGATAATCCTGACAGTAGGTTTTGTTGTCGATACGATGAACAAAAGTGGTGTGGAGAATCATCTGCTTGATGCACGCCAGTCCGCTAACCAACCACACCACAACACAGGAGACTACCGCATAGCTTCGATTCCTCAGCCGCGATGAGCCCAAGGAGTAGACGCCTGCAAGGTGTCGGTCAAAGGTCAGCAGAGTTAGAAAGAGGACAGAACTGTAGAAGCCCAGGTAGTAGACGCTGCCAACAATCTTGCACATGACCTTGCCAAAGATCCAGTTGGAGAGCTGCATGTAGACTCCAACGAAGGGAAGGCTGCTCATGAAGATCAGTGAGGACACCACCAGGTTCAGCAGTAAGATGTTGGTCACAGTGGTCAGCTTCTCAAACCTAGGAGGTGGTCATTAAAACAGTTAGATGGAGAGCAACAATAAAAACGCTTGGATCAACACAAGCATTTCTGACAGTAAAGTTTCATATTTTCAAACTTTTTTAAACTTTAGGTGGTTTCAGTGGAATCACTGCATCTGTGGTCAGTCGACAAAAACTGACACAGTGGTGGTCAGACTAATGAAGCTCTGCGTAAGTTAAAGCAGGAAGACCTTCTTATTAAGCCTCTTCCATTCACCATTATCTCATGCTCCTTTCTAATTAGCTATTTAGAGTGCGTTTACTCTTTCAGTTAATCCAGTCAGATTTAGCCACAATGTCCTCCAGCCAATCATGTTGCTGCTGTCGACCTTTAAATCTGTTCTCCTCTCTGCTGCTTTCAGCTGTCATTTCATTTCAAGACTTTTCTTTTTTTCTCATCTTCATTGTGCACATATCAATTAAATATATTGTTCATTCAAAAAGTAAGTCTCTCCTGATTAAAATGGAAATATACAAAATAAAGGAAGTTCTGGTTTTAGATCATTCAACTTTCTACAATTCTTTTTGTTCTGTTTTGTTGTCGTGGTGATAGGTGTGCTGGCTTGTTGACACTGTCAATGTGTGACAATGTCCTAACATTGTAATGACAACATCAGTCTTTTCAGCAAGTGCCCCAAAACCTGTGTTTACCCTAAAGTGACAAAGACTTTGGATGGTGGCTGGAGTGGAGGGAGCAAATGAGGCAGTCAGGTGATATTATCAGGAGGAAGGCCAGGATGGGCCGGTGGGTCAACAAAATATCAAACTTTAACATGGGAGACCACTGTTAGTTTGACCAGTAATCATTAACCTTAACCAAGTGTTTATTATCGTAACCATGACAACAAAGGTTGTCAAAGTTATTTGATGAGTGATTTGTGGTTTTAATTTGACTTTTTTTTTTAAAATGGTGTTATGACATTACATTTTTGTTACCGAGGATCACTTACCTCTATATTGTTCAGCCCTAAGGAAAATAATCACATATAATGCATATTTTAGGTCTGAAATGGAAGCCAACAAAGAGACGCAGGAAGCAAACATCCCCAGATTTTGTGAATCAAAGTCCTGATTCTAATGCATCAAGGAATAATAGATATTTATTTAATTTCACTTTAATTTTGCCTATGGTTGAAAAGCAGCACTGTTGAGCTAAGCTTTGTGAATAACGAAAATTATGCCAGTTTAGAGTTTTCCATTGTAATTTCTGAGCTATGAATGGTACCATAGAAAATGGTCTTTACTTTCCTTGAGCTTTCAACCTGTCAGCCACCCTGACATAGCATCTCTCATTGCAACCCCCTACAATATACTGCATTATAAACACTCCTTTCAGTCCATGGCCCAGGGAGACTTGCTGAGCTCATCTCTGACATTGTCATTTGTGTTCCCATGAACACCAAAAGTATTTTCACATTTGCTTGCTTACAAAGGTAGGGAGCAATGGAGACAAGGGTAGAGAGAGGAGAGTCAGTAGACAGTGACAGAGGAGAGGTAACTCTTAGGGGGCTTAGAGAGGAGAACTTTACCTACTAAACAACTACTGTATTTCTCTCGGTGGGCTCAAGTGTAAGAAGCTCCTAGTACGACTTCATCTTATAGTCTGCCTGTGTGTCTTTTTTTTTTCTGACAACCTCATGACATCTGCAGTCAAATCCACCGGTTCCCCAAATGGTCTAAAGCTGAAGCCTGTCATAGAGCTGCGCTGTCCATTCTGTCTCCCACACGTCAGAATCAAATAAAGCAAGTGAACTAAAATCTCTCTTTAGATTTTTTTGGCTGAAGGAATGGACAATACGGATAAAATGGATGTAATTTTACACTGTACACTGATGTGCTGTAATAAACCCTACCTTCATGAAGGTGTTCAGTTCTGCTGACAAGGTGTTGATTTAGTTTTATGGTCATAGGTAAGTAGTAGTTTGTGGTGCTTTTGAATTATATTGTATTATACTGATGAGTGTTTGTCTGGCTATAATCGGGCTTCATTATTTTCATTCATTAAAAATAGAGAATTGTAAAAACATCCACCTCATGCCACATACTTTAACAAATTAAGAATTATTGTTCTCAGCAATTAACATTTGAAGTTTAATTTAGGTATAAGTATACTCATGATATTAAACCAGAATCTTTTCAATAATAGACTTTAAGTATATTTCCATTCTGTAATTACCTCTCTCTACAGTCGTTTTCATTGTTAGTGTCAGGGTCCACCATTTCCACACAGGATATACAGT